TTGTTAAGGTTTATATATGTCCCAACCTGGTCTTGGAGTCCTAGTGTGGTACTGAAGGATAAGCATTGGACTGCGAGGTTAGTGGTTCAAACCCACCAGCTGCTCCTCAGAAACCCTATACAGGGTCACTATGAGTCGAAACTGACTCGACAACCCTTAACAATAGCAACAACAGCCTGATCTCATCTGAGAACTGAAGACTGTATTGAGGCAAATGAGATACATTTGAAAATGTTTTCAAAGGCGTAACCTTAATAACCAGGAAAAAAACCCATGGTTTTGACTTGGAACCATTTCTCAATAGACAAATATTCTGACTCACTTAAGTAACTCATAGTTCACATATAGTTTAGCTACAAAAGCTGAAATGTACCCTCAATTCCCTAATTTTGATTTTCAGTTGGAGTTCTTTGTACCACCACCCCTGCTGTATAGTTCACCTGAAGGTTAAGGTACCAGCACGAGTTCCCTTGAATCAATACCAACTCAGTGCAACCTTATGTGTAAAAGAACAAAAGGTTGTCCTACACTAATACCATACTATTTTTTTCTATACTGTATAACACTATACTACTAAAGAAGTATGGTAGCATAGTGGTTACAAGTCGGGCTGCTAAACTCAAAGTCAGCAGTTCGAAACCACTAGCTGTTGCATGGGAGAAAGATGGGCTTTCTGCTCTGTAAAGATCTGCTCAGAAACCATATACAGGGTCGCTGTGGGTCGGAACCAATTCCATAGCACGCAACGATCACCACCACCATGTTTTATACTAGTTGCCCTTGAGTGGACTCAAACTCATTGTGACCTCACGTGTGTCTGAATAGAACTGTGTTCCGTTGGGTTTTCAATGGCTGGTTTTCCAGAAGTAGATCACAGGCCTTTATTCCAAGATGCTTCTTGATGGATTTGAACCTCAAACCTTTTAGTTAGAATCTGTGTGTGTTAACTATGTGTACCATATAGCACTGTAGTATAAGCATTGGATTGTTAACTACAAGGTCAGAAGTTCAAACCTACCAGCCATTCCTCAAGAGAAAGATGAGGCTTTCTGCTCCCATAAAGATTTATAGCATATGAAACACTATACAAGGTCGCTGTGCATTGGAATCAACTCAATGAAGGTAGATTTTTTTTTTTTAAAGAGAGATTCCAGAGGCTAAAATAAAGAGTAGTGATAATAGGAAGCATTTGTTGTTGTTGTTGTTGTTGTTGTCATGTGCCATCGAGTCGGAACTGACTCATAGCGACCCCATGCTGAACGAAACAATGTCCGATCCTGGGCCAACCTCACTACCGCTGCCACACTTGAGTCCATCAATGATGTCACCTGGCCGACCCATCTCGTTGGGGGTCTTCCTCTTTTCTCTGACCCTCCATCTTACCCAGCATGACATCCTTCTCCAGTGACTATTTCCTCCTGACAATATGTCCAAAGTATGAGAGACAAAGCTTAGCCATCCTGGCCTCCAAGGAGCACTCTGGCTGCACTTCTTCCAAAACAGATCTATTGGTTCTTTTGGCAGTCCATGGCACGTTTAGTATTCTTCCAACACCACAACTCAAAGGCATCAATTCTTCTATGATCTTCCTTATTCACTGTCCAGCTTTCGCATCCATATGAGGTTATTGAAAATACCATGGCTTGGGTCAGGCGCACCGTAGTCCTCAAGCTGACATCTCTGCTCTTCAACACTTTAAAAAGTTCCTGTGCAGCAAATTTGCCCAGTGCAATTTAAAGTATTAATTCTATTCCAAAATCTCTGGATGATGCAAACAGTTAACATGCTCAGTACTAACAAAAAGGTTGGAGACTCAAATCCATTCAGAAGTGCCTTGGAATAAATATCTGGTAATCTGTGCTGTAAATATCAGTAATTGAAAATTCTATGGGGCACAATTACACTCTGACACACATGGGGTTGTCATGGGCTGGAATCATCTCAATAGCAACTTGTAGGTTAAGTCTTCTATTCCCGACATTGGGCTCATTGTTCTACATTATTTGATTCCCACTTCCCATCATATGAGGTAAGTATTGTCTTAATTCCCATTTACACATGGTAACGATGAGGAACAGAAAAGTTAAGGAACTTGCCCGAGGTTGCACAACAATAAGGTGACAGAGCCAGGCTTTGAATTCTCAAACCTGTGCTGTCAGCCACAAGACTTGCTTGTCTCTTGGACGTTAAGGACTACCCTCCAGCAATACGTGATGGAGACAATGCCACCACAGAGGAATCTGTAGGCCCTCATGTCCTCCCAGTCACTTTGTCTTTAACTACCCTGTCTCCATGCAAGGTGGCAAAGACTACAGTTAATGCATGATCCACATGAAACTGATGTTAGCAAATGTAAAGCAAAGTTTCATTTTGACTATTAGTGACTTGATTTTGGTCATCTGGATAGAAACAATTCACCTCCTATGTTAGTGGCTTTACTGAGAGGATAAAGGAGCCAAATGCTTACTCCATCTGTTCTTTCATTTTTCACCTAAATATTTATTGTCTAAACTGATCTAGGCTCTGAAAGATGCTCAGTTATTTGCTGTGTAAGTTTGGGAAGCCTGACATAACATCTTTTGAGCTCTATTTTCTAATTTGCATAATGGACTTAATACCACTACAAAGGATTGTTGTGAAGATTAAATGAAATAACAAATATTCTTTCAACTCCTTTGTCTGACTTCCTCAAATAAAGAGAAGGCCTTGTAAAAATAAGCTCAAATTTCTGTCTAAATTATCAAGTCTCACAATGGCACATGTAGCATCATTGGTGGGGAGAAGGGAGCCGGGAAGAGCATGAATTTCATCCTGAGAATGTAGATTTCTGAAAGTGTACTCAAAGACTCTAACAACATAATTTCCTTCTATTTTCTAGACATTCAGCTAGCCTATTCCCTCCTGTGGCACTGTGGGTTAATATGCCAGACTGCAAAGCCATTTGAACTGCAAGGTTGGTAGTTCAAGCTCACCAGCTGCTCCTTGGAAACCCTATACAGGGTCGCTATGAGTCAGAACTGACTCGATGGCACTGAACAACAACAACAACTTATGTCAAAGGAGTTCTAGTGTGGTGCTGTAGGATAAAGCACTGGACCCTAAGGTTGACTTTAACCACAAGGTTGGCCATTCAAGCCCATCAGCCACTCCTCAGAAACCCTGTACAGAATTGCTATGAGTCAGAACCAGCTCAATAACCCTTAACAGAAACAACAATCCCCACTCCAGAACTATCCCAGGAAGGGAGAAAAACAGCTACACATTTCTTGTGAAGGCCACTGATAACCACCACTAGAAAAAAATAAATAAATAATGGTGCCTGTTAGAAACAACATGCCCAGAATGGTCAGTGCAACTTGAGATAAACTAAACAACAAAGAAGTTTCTGCAATTCCTCGAACCCCTACCCTATGCCCAAGATCCCTACAAATCCTCCCTCTCTTTTTCCCTTGGGGAGGCAGATCTGGAAGACCCCTGTTCCTCTGTATTCCTGTGTACACAACAAATATTTTGCTCTTTGCTCTGAGCCCTGCTTCTGAGTATTGGAAATACTGGCAGCAGGTGATTAAAAACCATTTTTTCTGGTTACATTTGTAGCACATGTGTACACATCAAGTTGACTGAAATATATTTCCCTACCAAGACCAGCAGTCCTCCATATGCTCCATGGAAGAATGATGAGGCTTTCTGTTCCCATAAAGACTTACAGCTTGAGATACCCTATTCAGGGTCAGTGTGAGTCACATCCAAATCAACAGTACACCACCACCACCAATAGTCATCAAAGAAAAATGGAATTATGTTTAGCACATTTTTAGTGTTAAATACGCTCATATGTCATTTTATTTTAATTATCTGAAAAAAATGGTAATGCACACATGTTGGTGGTATGCTGTGGAATCACTTCCAACTCATAGCAACCCTGTATAGGGTTTCTGAGGATATAAATCTTTATGGGAGCAGAAAGCTTCATCTTTCTCCTGTGGAACAGCTGGTAGTTTTGAACTGCTGACCTGGAGCTTAGTAGGCCGACTCTCAACCACTATGCTACCAGAGCTCCTACCACACATGATATATAACCTTAATTAGGCAAAGCTAGAAACATCAGTTCTTAATTATTTTTCCCAAATGACAACTTATAGTCTTTTAAAATAATAAAATGGCATTGCTTTTAAAACACACTAAAAATGGAACTTTTTCCTGATTCAGACTAGTGTCCCCCTATAGTTCAAATTAGTGAACTTTATCATATTATTCACAGGTCGTGTTATGGATTTGATTCTATTAATGAACCATGTACCTATATCTCTCCTAAGATACTTGCTATTTAAAATGGTTAGTATGTTCATATACAGATACTCACTTTTTACTTTCTCTAAAAAGAAACGTCAATATACCTAAATTTTCTTTTTTTTTTTTTTTAACAATTTTATCTCCTTAGAAACCTGTCAAATTTAAGCATAGAATACTTCAACTTTATTTCCAAGACCACTGATAAAAGTTTCACTTTAATAGACAATGAACTGCAAGGGACTAAATAGATGGAGTCCTTGTGTGCTGCAAATGGAGTAAGCACTCAGCTACTAGTTTGAAATTTAGCTGAACCCACTAAAAGGCCCCTAGGATGGCAGACTTGACTATCTGCTTCCTAAAGGTTATAATCTTTAAAACCTTAGGGAGTTCTACTCTACACACACTGGATGATTATGAGCTGGAATTGGCCCAAAGACAACTAACAACAAATAGATAAATTTCTCTTAGTTGGACATCGCCTACTTAGCAATTGACAGGAGACAAGAGGACCATTTCAGGAAATAGCTCTTTGTTTGGAAGCATGTGGCAGTCATTACTAAAATAAGTATTGCTTGAATATCATGCAAGAATCAGACTAAAATCATGTAAAATGGATCATTAAAAGTCTATTGTGACCACATTCAGTTGGCTGCCATTCTTTTAAATCATTCATGCATATGCTATAGAATAATGAATGTTCAGCTTACATGCCAAGTCTCGTTTGTTGTAACCTTGTATCTCATTTCACAGGAAACCTTTTCAATGGCTGTTTGACTAGTCCAATGGATTATAGTTCTGGTGGCTGTAGTATTTATATTTTCAGCTCTGGAAATGGTGGCTGAAGAAGGTATCACTAGGAGGCAAAAACAAACCAATCAACCAACCAGTTGTTTAAAACATGTCCAGGAAGAAATATATATTTTTTTCATCAATATATACACATGCTTAAAACTCCAAGAATATTTTCAAATCTCATTATCTAATTAACAGCTAAGGAGTTTTTTCTTGTTTTGACATCTGTTATGTTAGAGAAAACTACTATTATTAAATAAAATTATATTCAGCCCATTCTCCATATCTTTAAACTAAATTCCAACAGTCTTGCTCCCCATCACTTAACCCCAATAATCCAAACTAATAGAATTCCAGAGCTTACTCTTATTAGCCAAGGAGTCTGGTAAAAAAGAAAGGAAGAAAGAGTAAAAGAGATATCTCCTTTCTCTACATCTGTGGCAGGAGAGATGTTGATTTGCGTTCTTAATTTGGTTCAGAGAATCTGATTTGATAGGGTGCTAAATTGAGACATTTCATGATAATATTCTTGATTTCTTGTGTAATAGGGAAAGTCCTATGAATACTTACATCACTTGCTAACTTGTTTTGTTCCCCATTAAAATTAACCCATCCTTGAAAGTGTACTTTAAACAAAAGGAGTCTCATAAGAGTCTAAGATTTCACAAATTGATACATTACAGTAGCCTTCAAAAACTAAGTAAAATTCTTATTTTTTACCTTCTTTGTTGTTTTGTTATACTAGGAATAAAGGTATAATAGGCATTTCTGTATTTCTTATGCCAATTATATTGGCATGTCTTTATTTTTTATGGAGTCCTGGTATGGCAAGGCAGGTTTAACACTGGGCTGCTAACCACAAGGTCAGCAGTCCAAACCCACCAGCTGCCCCTTGGGAACCCTATAAAGGGTCATTATGAGTTGGCACTGACTCAACAGCACTTAACAACAACAACAATACTTCTCATATACATTTATTCAAATATTGATATCTTAGGTAATGGTGAGCTGAAATAGACTCATAATGGCCATTTTAAACCAAAAGGTCATACAGTCTACTACTATTTTGGGAATGATAACTTGAAGACAAATGGTATCACATTCATCATCATCAAAACAAAACAAAACAATTCATATTGTGCGGCAGCACCAGCGGCCACGGTGACTAATATTCTGGTCTTGCTCCGGCTGTGCCAGCAGAGCCCCGGGCTAGGGCAGGAGTCCCACTGTCTCAGGCTGTGCAGACGAATGGAACTCAACCTTTAAACACAACATGGGAACTCAGTTTGTATGAATTGTATGAACACATCAGTGACTCTTCTACAGGAGGCAATAACATACGGCTTGGGAATCATGGTTTCACCTTGAAGTCTACACAGTGAACTAATGTGTCCAATTTGTTTGACTATGTTGAAGAACACCATGACTACAAAGGAGTGTTTCCATCATTTTTTTGTGCAGACTGCATTACCACAGCTCCCAGAAGTGTAAAGAAAGAATGTCCTACTTGTCGAAAGAAATTCATTTCCAAAAGATCACTAAGGCCAGATCCAAGCTTTGATGCCCTCATCAGCAAAATTTATCTAATGATGAGTATAAAGTTCACCAAGAGAGAGTATTAGCCAGGATCAGCAAGCACAATAATCAGCATGCACTCAGTCACAGCATTGGGGAAGGACTGAAGATACAGGCCATGAACTGACTTGAGCGAGGCAAAAAAACAACAGATTGAAAATAGTAGTGAAGCAGAAGATTATGGTGATTGCTCACACTGTAGTAATGCATCCACACACAGCAATCAGGAAGCAGGGCCTAGTAACAAACCAAAACATCTGATGACTCTGGGCTTGAGCTTGATAATAACAATGCAACAGTGGCAATTGATCCAGTCATGGATGGTGCTAGTGAAGTTGAGCTATTGTTCAGGCCTCATCCCACACTTAGGGAAAAAGATGACAGTGCACAGACAAGATACATAAAGACTTAAGATAATGCTACTATTGATCACTTATCCAAGTACCTGGCTGTGAGACTAGCTTTAGAAGAACTTCGAAGCAAAGGGGGATCAAACCAGATGAACCTTAATACAGCCAGTGAGAAGCAGTATACCATTTACATAGCAACAGCTAATGGCCAGTTCACTGAATTAAATGGCTCATTTTTTTGGAATTCATCAGTGAGAAATACTGGAAATAGAACAAACCCATGGAACTTTATTATGACCGCACAAAAGACCACAAACGAGCTTTTATGAAAGCAATTCTGAAAATGAACCTTATTAAAACCTCGTTCTTAAATATTAAAAGATGCACCATCATTCATTTTATGGACAGAATCTTGGATATAACATTTAGTTTTCTTTCTTAGCCAGACTAGTTTACACTATTAGAATCTTTCCCCCTTGATTTAAGATTTCCTGTTGAAAAGGGCAAGCAATTATTCAGTACTTTTTTCTTTCCTTTGAAAAAGTCTAAGTTGTGTTTTTTTCAAAGTGTTGTTCCATTTTCTCCCTCTACCTAACATTTTTTAGGCCTTCAGAGTATATTCTATATTTTGATATGTATTCCGACTTTTTTCCTCCCAGAGTCGTGTATATTTGGTTTTCTATATAAATGATAGGATCTTAACGAAGACCAAGACTCAAATTTACTGTGCTTAAAATACAATTCTAATAGGATGATTCTTTTCATGGTATTTTCTTCCATAATATCTTATTTGAAGAAGAGGTTCTTTATGAACTTAGTGACCATTGTTATGCAATGTTTATTTTCATTTTTTTCTTGTAATAATTTTGGAATTTCTGATCAAAATTTCAGGTTCTGTAAGAACTTGATTCTTAAACAGATTTCACTGAAGAAAAGAAAATTAAATTAGTCATTTGCAGTCTTCAAATATATATTTAAAGAGGTCTCTTTTTTTTAGTACTAGTTATAGTGTCACGTCAGTTTATTATGCGTGTTTGATAATTTTGCCTCTTAAAATACCAGAGATATGGAGATATTTTGCACTTTAGCCTGATGAAAAGTACAAGATATGTTCAGTGCTTCCCATATAAATTTCAAGAATAACATGGCACATAGAACTAACAATGGCAAAAGAAGTTTGCTTCTGTCTGAAAAACATGTTTAACATCTTGGGCTGCTGTGTCGTTTATAAATTGGGTGCTCTCCTCATTATACTGTAGAGATAAAGATTAACCAGGGATTTAAACTGGTTCATTCCTGTATGAACCCCCGTTGTTAATTTGCATTTCCAACCAATATCTGGGGCGGAAATGCAAATTCTTAACTGGGAATTTAACAGGAATGAATCAGTTTGAAGTCCTGAAGTTAACAAAGCTTGACCTTAGGCCTACCTTGTAGTAAAAAATAATTTTATAGAATGCCAGCTAGTAAAGTCATTCTACCCTTATTATTTAGTTTTATATTGTGGGACAGTGTTAAGTGTTTGGGAATCAGAAGACTGTATACTGACAGGTCAGAAATAAAATTGACTTGTGCATTATTTTTCATCCCTGTCTTGATTATACATTTGTTTCCAAGTTTATATTATCACAGTATTTACAAAGACATGCTTGCATTGAGAAATTAACCCCCAAAGGGTTTTTGATAGGAAAGAATAGTTCCTCAGTACCATTGTAACTAAAACGTGTCTGATAGATGTAAATAGTTATCTGTCAATTTTGACAAAGTGGGGCCAGCTTGATGTTTTAAATCTTCAGCCCAGTATGAAAATGTTAAAAAAGTATCCAATATTTTACCATTTTATTGAAAATACTTAAAACCTGCTTTTACTTTTTTTTTTTTTTTTTGGTAACCTGAGCCATGAAATTTTTTAAATTCAGTTCCTTTTTTGGTGTAATGTTAAATTGTATAGATTACTATTAATGCACATCCACTGAACATGATACTGGTTTTGTGATACAATTATTTAGATTTTATTGGCAGCATCTTAGACTAATGGTTGCATTAAATCACTAAATTTCCATTGTGATTTTTAATTGGAGTTTTGTCTTTAAGAAAAAAAATATTTGTGAATATAGCTTTATGCTTAGAGAATGTATGTGTGCTTATCTGTCAGTATGGGAGGATGAAAACGAGATCATTAAGGAATATATTGGATCTGTAATCCTTTGCAGAATATAATTATAGGTATTTGGTAGACAGCAACAACAAAAATCAATTT